GAATCAAATCATAAAATACAATATTATATGTCATAATATGTCAATATGTCCACACCCAGCCCTAGCGTGTTAGTAGTTTTGCATTTTGTTTAGGATAGTTGTAAGTATTTTAATACAGAGTTCTGGCATGAAACTCTGATGGCTCAGTCCGATAGGTCTAACTCAATCTGACGTAATGACATCATTACCACATGGCACAGCTGATTGGTTCTCTCCTGTATCAGTAGCCAATGAGCTCGCTGCTCAACATTCAAATATATGTCTAGTGCTTGCTTGCTTCAGAACCCCTCCACCTTCCCCAGCTCCACCTGTATAGATCTGCTACGAGGTGATTCGTGTATGCTATATGGGGGTTATTTCATGTATGTTGTATTTGCAGCAGCAGTATTTCTTACATGCTCACAGCAGCATGTTGTGGATGTATTAGCAGTAGCAAGTCTCGGTACTTGCTCTGCAGCAGCAGCAGCGTAGCAGATCTATTCCGCCAAGACCAAATACATTAACATTGTCATGTACATTACCATGCCAATCCCTCCGAGAGTTGTCATGACAGAAATTATGTTTTATTTAGTTTTAGTAGTTTTTTTTTTTTAGAAAGCCTCATCTAGCTAATATGCTAAATAAAAATACAACACAAAACAATAGCATTTTACATATTTGAGGGTTTTACCATTACCATTTATTACCACAAAGCTTTATCAAACAAGTAATGTCCTGATTTGTGTCCTTTGATTAGTTTATTAAAGGCAATGTGGCAGGCTAAAATCCCTCTGTAGAATGATTTCTAAAAATCCTCATCCAGTAATCACAAATCGCTGTCGAAGTATTTAAAAGTCATTGTTGTGTCAGGTGTGTGACTGAGGTGTGCAGAGCATCATCTCGTCTTCTGATGCTGGCAGCCTGCATCTCTCTTCCTGTGCCTTACATATTCATAGAGGCTGATGTTCAGCTGTCATGTGCAGCTATGCCCTGTTAAAGCTCTCTGTCTGTATGTGGGTCTGTCTGTGTCTGAGCCCTCGCTCCATCTCTCTCTGTTGCCTTTTCTTCTTTATTAATGAGTCGTGACAGTGATATCACTCTAAACAGATAAAGAGGCGTCTCTCTCAATGCTGGTCGGCTCTGGTAAACTCTGTGTTGCCACAGGCAGCCTATCTATCTTGCCTTAATGTGAAATGTTGAAGTCTTCCCACTTTTCAGGACTCGATGACTCCCCCAAACACATGCTAGAGATAAGACGGACTACTCGAAACAGGAAATAAAGCAAAAAAGCAAATGCGCGTTTTGAGAGAGGGACCCCTGCCACATTGCAGCTTTTAACTAGCATTTAAATGCGTTAGATGATTGACATATTCACATTTCCTCTGATCTCCTGCAAGAGAGAGTCTGGAATTGTGCGGCTAGCTGTGAAGTGATAATTAAAGTCAGTGTGCAACTCAGTTTGCAATCTATTTTACTTCTGCACGGTGATGCATTTCCAGGAGAAACTGATATTCAATGAGAGAAAATGGATGGGATGGGATTTTATCCATTTGAAATGGATTAGATCATGGGAATTACTTGCCATTTCCTTGTAATTATTTGTGAAATTTACTAGCTATGTCTGAGAGAAAATAGTTTTAAAGTAAATCCCATACCAGTTTTTTCCGTTTATTAAAAATATATTATCAGTTTTGATTTCATATTGATTTAAGGATGCATTAGGTTTACAGTAAGAGCAAGAATGAGTGTTTCTTATGTTGGTGAGGATAATTTGCTGTTTGTTTGCTTGTTTCACCGTGTCTGTTTACAAGGAGTCATGGTTAATGAACATCATATGCAGAAAAAATTGGGAAATGTATTCAATCTTCAAGCATTTGACAATTTCAGAGACATCTGTATGTACAGAACTTGAGCATGAACAAGGGTTGGTTTGGAGGATGTTCTCTACTACAAACATCTGAGCATGTTTGGTATTTTTCATTCCTACAAATACATGTTGGGAGTGTTTGTAACATTTTTCACTTCTTCCGGATTTCCAGTCTTTTTGTGATGCTAAAGTTCCCCTGAAAATGCAGACTGCAATATGTCACACATCTATATTCAATAGGAAGAAACTTCAGAAGGGTTCTGGCAGATATGCGCGGCCTCCTGCCGTTCTTCCAGACACAAACAGCCTCCCCACCCACTGAAACAAAACCCTGCATCAGTTTTCTTCATTCTTGCACTATTTTGCTTGAGATGACAATTCTTAGATGCTTTGATGGATTTTTCTGTTTGTTTTATCAAATGTAGCAGCTGGAGTCTTGTCAGAGGAAACTAGATCTACAGGAGTAGTACTGGCAAACCTGCTTGTGAAATGAATAAATCTAGAATTATGACGTTCTGAAAATGATCAAGATCTCGGGGAATAAAACACATTCACATTAGACACCAACCACATCACACATTCAACATGCTGTAATAATTTAGGCTTTAAAGACGCTTCCACAGGCTCCTTCAGCCCTGCAGTGAATGAACTCAAAGAAAATATAGAAGAGCCTTTTATGCTTCAAAAATCCTGTATTGATTCTAAATTAAATCAGGTGAAAGTACTTGAAACTTTGCATGCAGAACGAGTGTGGATTTGACTAGAATTTGACCTTTATCCTTGAATTATAAAGACACAAAACAAGCAGTTAAATTCTGAAAACATCTTACCGCTTATTGACCACAAGAAAACATGATTATATCATCATTTAAACCCCAGACAAAATAAAACTCAACATTGTCTGGCTCTAAAAAGATTTGATGTGACTGATAGGAAAGTGAGAAGCACCTTGACTTGACCAGGTACAGACTGGAAATTGAGAAAGAGCTTCATGTCCTGACTGAATGCTTAAAGTTTAATGAAAACCTTGAAATGAACTAACGATATTAAACAGACATGTCACAACTGTGACAGCGTGCTGAACGATGAAAAAGGAGCAACAGCACAGTATGTCTCTTGACTGCCATCAGTTGACCTCTCTCTCTCTCTCTCTCTCTCTCTCTCTCTCTCTCTCTCTCAGGAGGCCATCATCACCGGCCTGCTGCCTGAAACCACATATTCAGTGACTGTGGCGGCATACACCACTAAGGGAGATGGAGCACGCAGCAAAGCTAAAGTGGTGACCACAACAGGGGCCGGTGAGATTGTGTGTTTAAGGGTTAATGAAAGTTTAAGTGCATTTAGAGGGAAAAAAAAAAAAAAATTAAACCGTAGTTTAAACCTTCAAACTCAAGCCCACGATGACCTCACAGTGACCTCCACTGTCACTGTAGCTGTACTTGTAGCTCTATACCCATTTCATCTTCTGAACAATCTGGCCGAAGTACTGCAAGTTAAATAGAAGTGGATATTAATTCACATCATTCTTCTTATAGGGTAGGAGAGGATTTATCCATGTAGTGCCTTACAAAATGAACTAGAGTGACCATATTGTCTTCCAAAATAAATTAAAGCTGCACAATATTGGAAAACATTGACACTGCTCAACAGTATATGTGTATATAAATATATAGATATATGTAGCTATAGATATATATATGATTATATATTGCAATAATACTATTATTATATAAAAAATTTATTGTACAGCTGTACAATTACAGGACTGTTTAATTCTTTATTTTCAAATGTTAAACCATCAAACATTTATTTTGACATTTTGCCTGCAAATAAATATATGTGCTGCTGTTTTCAGAGCTAAGCACCACTATGTTCATCATGTACACGTGTGCAGCTCATGATATGCCGTTTCAAAGTCTCAGAGCAGATTGATTCACAGTAAATTAACAAAACCACAGTGAAACTCTTCAAAAAGAGTATTATGAGCTACATGCATGTAAATGAACACACTGATGTGCTATTATTGTATCGCAACAATATCGCAAAATGGGTTTTATTTCGTTGGTGTAGCCCTATACCAAAATACCATAGTTACAGAAATCAAATTATATTAAAGGGACAGTTCACCCAAAAATGAAAATTCTGTCAGCATTTATTCGCCCAAGTTGGTCCAAACCTGTACGCATTTCTTTCTTCTGCTAAACACAAAAGAAGATATTTTGAAGAACATGGCTAACCAAATAGTTTCTGGTCCCTATTGACTTTCATACTATGGAAAAATATATATATTGTGGAATCAATGGGGACCAAAACCTGTTTGGGTGTTTTTGGGTGATCTATGCCTTTAACTCAGTATTATCGCTGTCACTGGTAGTTCCTGGCAAGCCCACCATGATCATTAGCACCACCATCGGGAACACAGCTCTGATCCAGTGGCAGCCGCCGAAAGAGATGGTGGGCGAACTGATGGGCTACAGACTGCGCTATAAGCGTGAAGAGGAGGAGACTTACAGCACCCGTGACTTCAGACGCGCCGACGACCACTTCACCGTCACCGGCCTGCACAAGGGCGCCACCTACATCTTCAAGCTCTGCGCCAAGAACCGCGCGGGAAACGGGGAGGAGTACAGTAAAGAGATCAGCACCCCAGAAGACGTCCCCAGCAGTTACCCACAAAACCTCAGAGTGGTGGGCCTGACAACCACCACCACCAAACTGGCCTGGGACCCTCCGCCTCTGCCTGAGAGGAACGGGAGGATCATACGTTACGTGGTGGTGTACCGTGACATCAACAGCCATCAGAACCACACCAACGATACCGCCGAGATCCAAATGACCATCCAGGGTCTGCAGCCGGACACCACCTATGACATCAGAGTGAGGGCGTTCACGGGTAAAGGAGGGGGTCCGATCAGCCCCAGCATCCAGAGCAGAACCATGTCTACATCCATGCCTGGTGAGTTTTTAAGGAGCTCTGAATGACATTTATTTTCATGATCTGTTCTTGAACGTCTGCATTCATCCATCGATGTTGATGAAACGGCACTAACATACTCTTGCATTGCAATTCAGAAGTGATGCGTGACCATTATTGAATTTATAACATCATAACGAAATGATGTTTTATTTGAGCTGTGAGTTTGAGTTGAATTGTGCAATCTGAATTGAATGTGATGAGAGTAAAAAGAAGGAAGACATCTTTTATTGCGACATGCTCACTTGTTAAAATGATTGCACATAGTCTGATTCAGGAACAAATCATTCTAATGAGCAGGTTTTTAATGCATCAGTCAGAAAAGACTCACTAATCAGTTGTGAAGTAGCTGCTTCAAAAGTTCTAAAGGAATCGTTAATGGAATCATTAAGGAAGCAAAATTGGAATTAAAATCAAAACTGATCTCAAAGCTGTATTTACCAGAGAAAATCTTTATTGCTCTGACGTTGCTCTTGCAAATCTCAGGAGATTTAAAGATTTAATGGAGGGCTTATTTATGTTTTAAGAATCAACTTTTATTCAGATATTTGTGCTTTAAATTCATTTGATATAATTAGGATAGTCACAGATTGCTGTCAAATAGGAAGAATTCAACATGAAGTATATGAGACATTAAGAGCTCTTAAAGTGCTACGTAGTGTTATTTTAACATTATTGATATACTATTATAGTTTTTGTTCATAATTTGAATGAGTTTTTTTTTTTATATTTTCTGTTTTTTGTTTTTTTTTCAATTTTAGTGAAAATTTTAAGTAATTTCGTTCTGTTTTGACATTTTATTAGTTTTTAGTGTTTTTAATTACGTTTTTGCTTAGTTTTTAGTTTTATTTATTTTAGTACATCAACTTAAATTAAACAAAAATAATAAACGTTGCTTTGGCAGCTATCTGCAATAAAAATTATGTTATTTTATTATTTTATTTTATTTCAGTGTTCATGTTTAAGCAACGTTTTGGTTTTGTTTAGTTTTTTTTTTATGATTTTAGTTTTAGTTAACAATAATAGCCCTGGCTCTTGAGGGTTTTCTCTCAGAAGAAAAATCAGAGAACTGGGAGGTTTAAGAAATAAATATCTCTATTTGATTTCTATTTAATCTCACTGCTGCTTGGAAAACCAACTAAGACATTAAAGAGATCTCATTTGTGGTTTTTCTTTGCTAATGATTTGGTCCAATGAGATTTCACTGTGGGAGGAGCTTCCCAGTGCAGTGTGATAAAAATAGAGCCTAGCAACTGAAAATATGTCCGATGCGTGACTCTGTGGACAGTCACAGCTGTTAGGACAAAATCTTGAATTATCTTGGACAAGATTCAGTGTGTTCAATGGTCATGAATAACATTAAGTTCCGTCCAAAATTCTGTTTCAATCGAAAATGTTTTGCAATATAGATGTAAAATGTGCATTGAAAAGCACTCACACTGAGCAGATGGTTGGAGAGGAAGCAGACGTGCAGTTTGTGAACTGCAGTCACTGCGATCTCCACATACGGCCCATCTTCTGATAGAAAGATAAAGGGTTTGTTCACGCTCATGTCGTTCCCAAACTTGTCTGATTTTCTTTCTTTCTTCCATGGAACATATGGAGTACCTTTGTGTTAAGTTTGGAGCTCAACAGTATCCGTTCCCATTTATTTTCATTTCATATTCTGCCTGACAGTTCCTTTTGTGTTCCATGGAAGAACGTAATGCAGGATTAGAACTAGGCCTGTTTTTTTTTTGTTTTTTGTTTTTTTTATTAGTTTATTTTATTATTTTTCAGGTTTGCTTGGCTCCAGTGTAAATGTAAAGTGGATTAATATTATGGATGAACAAAAAGAAAAATATTTTATCTTTTAAAATATTATTTTCAAAGCATTAAAGAGAAATGTACGGGGCTACTTGGGTTTCCAAATAAAATATAAATTATGTATTAAGCTTAGCTCATACTGTAAGTAACATTAGCAAAACAGACAATTAAATCGTTAATTGCAATTATTTCTTTGACAATTAATCATAAGCCCCAAATGTAGTATTTGAAATGACAAGGGTGACAAAATGATGATGTATTATTTATTTTTGGGTGAACTATCCCTTTAAATATGTCTGCTGAGATGGTGTCATCATTTCTCTGCATTCTGACTTCTCATCTTCCTTATAGCATAAGCCACATGCAGATAACAGAGAGTTGGCTTTGATTTTTCATGTGTGGTTTGAGATGAAGTTCTTAAGATGTATGTACAGCATGTTAATCAGTGCAGTCTTTTTACACAGCGTTGCGGTTCCTCTGTGTAAATACATCTGTGCCATATGCAGTAATTCTTTTATTCTCACCTCCTCTGCAGAGTTCACTAAAAACTTTGGTGTGAAAGCTGTGATGAAGACCTCTGTCCTGCTCACGTGGGAGGTGCCAGAAACCTACAAGTCCCAAGTGCCTTTCAAGGTGAGATGCTGCAGTCATGAAGCAGAAATGCAGTGTAAAATGAATCTCATTGTGTGACTGAGTTAACCTGTGCGCCCCCTGCTGCCAGATCCTGTATAACCAGCAGAGCGTCGAGGTACAGGGCGACCTGAAGAGGAAGTTGATCACGCGCCTGCAGCCGGACACGGATTACTCCTTTGTGCTGATGAGCCGTGGGAACAGCGCTGGCGGACTGCAGCAGCAGGTCTCCATCCGCACCGCCCCGGACCTGTTCACCACCAAACCGGCCCTTCACAAACAAGACCCAGAGGAGGGCGGCAAACTCACCATCACTCTGCCCAAAATACACAACAGCGCCCTCGTCAGGTCAGTCAGAGAAACGCTGTAATCTTGTGCAGCCATCAGTTCTTCACTGGTCATGTTAGTGTTATCATCATCATGGATCTAGCTACCTATATTGATAGCATAGCTTCCAACAGCACTGCAAGAACTCTAGTTCAGAGTGAAGCGCGGCACTGTGTTAATTTAAACGTGAGCAGCTCATGATCCTGTGTTTTCTGCTTGGTTCACAGTAAAAGCTGCTGCACGAGCTTCATCTCTGCTGTGCTGTTAAATTGGGTTGCTGATAACGTGCATTTGAAAACGCAACACACACCAACCATCTTCCTAAATTTGTAATGGGAATCATTTATAAATCAACAACAGAGAAAAAGGTGTCAACAAAAGAGAAGCTTAAAGGTCACAACCAAAAAAAAACAAACATTGTTTTTGTTTTTTTGCTTTTTTTAATTGAAACTAAATTTTACTAAAATAAAATACAATTACTCTAATCAGTATTAGTTATATATATTAAATTCTCGTTTTTTTGTTTTACAGTACATACTATTTCAATAGCAACCAAAAAAAAACAAACATTGTTTTTGTTTTTTTGCTTTTTTTAATTGAAACTAAATTTTACTAAAATAAAATACAATTACTCTAATCAGTATTAGTTATATATATTAAATTTTGTTTTATTTGTTTTACAGTACATACTATTTCAATAGAAATGTTACATTTCTTATTTTTAATTGTTATTATTATTATTATTATTATTATTATTATTGTATAGTCATATAGAATGGGGGATATCTGAGTGAAGAGTAGCAGAGAGTTTCAGTACAGTATGTGACATTGCTAGGCTATGAATAAATAAAGAAAATAAAGAAAATGTCACAAAAAAACACTTTGTTCCACTAAAATACATTACAACTCTGCACTCTGACCATTTCAAGTTTCACCACATATAGTTTATTGTTCTGTAGTGCTATTAACAACATGATACATTACATTGTAGCTGCTCTGATTATGACTGATATGTATTTTACCTGTTATTAAATCTGCAAAACAAATTCTGCTGCGGCTGTACATGTCGAGACGAGTGATTCCCCAGGTTTCCATTTCATCTTGTTGCTGAGTTGTTTGTATCCTCGGCATTTTTCATTCAGCTTCTTTTATTCATATAGTTGACAGATTTGTTGTTGCTGTTGTTGTTTTCGCTTCATTTGGCATGCAAAAAAACTAAAAACTAAAAACTTTCCAAACATTGTTGAAATGTCTCTTTATTTTCCCCCAGTGGGAATAAAAGAGTAAACATGGAAACCAGGGTTTGTTTTCCCCTATAAAAACAATGTTTTCTGTATCAATGGTTTGCATTGCATGACTTGGATCAATAAAAACTGAGAGTGTATGTACATTACTGTACTGTACATTGCTTGTGGGCTACATTAAGTGCTTTGACACTAAACAGAGGAAAAAAACGCAAAACTAATGTTTTCTTTTTCAATGATTGACATTTTATGTCAAAGTAAAAGCAACCATAATCATTACTGTTCATCTATTGCAGCACTGTTAGCACTGCTATTCCTCACCCCTTTATCTTAAAACAGCTCATGTGTTTTCTCTCAGGCGATGTTTGCTGGACTCTCAGAGTTCTGCCAGCGCACGTAGACAAGAATCCTGTTCCTCTCTGGGCAAATATTGGACCGTTGTGTTTTAGCGAGGCTGAGGCTGAAGGCTAATACTCAAACACTTCCCATCGCAGCTCACAGGAGCGCCTCACATGGGTTTAGTTCACTGCAGCGAGCTGGATTTGGTGTAATGCGGTGCAGTCTGAGCTGAACGCTGCCCGCAGGATCGGTTCTGACCAAAGACAGCTCAGAAATCCTTTAATTAGAAACTACCAGACATTTTTCTTCATCAAAGCCAAAGCGAGGTTGTTAGCGGCAGTTACATCAGACGTTACAGGCATCACACGTATCAAACAATGCTCTTGCTCAGGCTGGCATGAGAGTGTGGGAATTACTCAGCCGTTAATTGGGTTTCAAGTGTTTGTTTCAGTCACCGAATGAGCCACAGGCTGCACGACTGTCACAGATTCATTTAGGAATGCAATCAGTGGTGTAATGCCCAACCAGACGGTTTCATGACAAACAAACCTGCTGAGCCTGTGATAAAGCGCAGCTAGAAAGGTTTGTGAACTCCAGAATCTGTCTTCATCAGAGATGAAGAGGGTCATGCTTTTCATTATCACGATCTCAGTGTTGTGTGAAACAGGTGTAACTCATGAACAGCGTCATTTGTGTCGTGCAGCGATGTACTGAGTGTGACAGTACTGAATATATAGTATAAAGATATTCGTAATGCCTTATAATACACATTGTGTATATCCTACCATTTAAAAGTTTGGGGTCAGTACGTTTTTAAAAAATAAATGAATAAACACTTTTATTCAGTGCGAATGCATTTAGTTGATCAAAAGTGACAGACATTTATAGTGTTACAAAACATTTCTATTTAAGATAAATTCTCTTCTTTTAAACTTTCAATTCATCAAAGAAAGCAAAGAAAGAATGGTTTCCACAAAAATATGAAGCAGCACATCTGTTTTCAGCAATGATAATAATTTAGAAATCAGCATATTAGAATGATTTCTGAAGATCATGTGACACTGAAGAGTAATGATGCTGAAACTTCAGCTTTGATCACAGGAATAAATAAAATTTTGACAATATATTCGCATTTTAAATGGTAATAATATTTCAGAATATTACTGATTTTACTGTAATTTTGATCAAATAAATGCAGCCTTGGTGAGCAGAAAAGACTTACTGACCCCAAACTTGTGTGCATGGTAAGAAAGACCTCAGAGAAAAATGTATCATATTGTTAATGACTTGTTTGTTTGTTTTCCTCTTAGTTGGTTTTATATAGTGGTGGTGCCAGTTACTACATCCACTCTACGCCGTTGGGAAAACCCGGAGGATATGGATCTGGATGAGGTGAGTTTGTGTTTGTGATGATCACATAAAAATAACAAACACACACTCTGTTACCTTATTTATGTTATGAACACATCGGTATGATGCAACTACTTTGTTGTTCCACTCGTTATTTTTCATCTGTTTTTAGCGTCTCAGTTCCTCTGCATCTGTGCATCAGCTGTTGAGACGCAGGCACTTTGAGGGCTCTTAAAAAGCTTCTCTTGGCGTTTTTGCATTTTTGTTATTACTACTGAGCTTTCGGGCTCCAACACATTTCTGCTTTCTCATGATTTTGCTTGCTCTCAATAAACTAACGTCTGCAAAATAGGGGAAACTTTTCAGGTGCTGCCTACTGAATATCAAAAGGCAGCGGCACTGTAAAAGTCACAATGGTGTCACCAGCATTTTGAAACAGCCCGTTTTCACGCAGCCATTCTCCCCCGAGTTACCCCTTATTTATGAGCGTTGCCGAGTCAAATGAGAGCTGTGTTATTGGATCGCGTGTTGTGCTGGTGTTTATCACTGTGCTGAAGTTATACTCGCTGCAGTCCTCGTTCTCTCTGCTGCTAGACTCCATTTGTTCAGCTGCAATCCTGCGACCTTGGATTTGAGTCAGTCTCCACCAAATGTGCTTTACTAAAGTGAAAGAAACTGAGGTCTGTCGGTTATTATGGTTGTGGAGAGAAAGAAATGAGAGGAAGAGTGAGGGATGGAGAAACAGAGGAAGTGGTCTATAAAGAGACAGATACAAGTACTGGAGACAGTGTGTGTGTCATTTTGAATTAATGATGCATGTGACTGAAGCACCTGAGGCTGGTATCTGACCTCTGACCTCTGGGTCACAGTCCAGCTGTTTCATGGACTGAAAGTGCCAATCAGCAGTTCAGCACAGACCTAGAGGACTGCTGGAAAATATATTAATATGTTGTTCAAAAGTTTGAGGGTTGGTAAAATTGTTTAATGTTTATGAAAGGAGTCTCTTCTCCTGTAATAATAAAGTAATAATGTAAAATATTATTACAATTTAAAATAACTGTTTTCTATGTGAATATATTTTAAAATGTCATTTATTCCTGTGATGCAAAGCTGAATTTTCAGCATCATTACTCTTCAGTGTCACATGATCCTTCAGAAATCATAATAATTTTCTGATTTGCTGCTCAAGAAACATTTATTATTATTTATATAATGTTGAAAACAGTTGAGCTGCTTCATATTTTTGTGGAAACCGTGATACATTTTTTCAGGATTCTTTGATGAATAGAAAGTTCAAAAGAACAGCATTTTTTTTTTAAATAGAAATCTTTTTATAACATTATAAATGTCTGTACTGTCACTTTTGACCAATTTAATGCATCCTTAAAAGGTAGTGTACGTGTATGTGTGTGTGTGCGTGTGTGTGTGTGTGTGTGTGTGTGTGTGTGTGCACCTTATAAATCTTGTGTATGTTATTGTATATGTTTTTCCCAGTGTATTGAGATTGTTTGTCATTTTACTGATGTGCTTCATGTGAGGTGTTCTCTGTGCTTTATCAGCTTTTGGGGAGTAATGGAGACTCAGGTGTGAGGAAGAGAAGGAGGAGACAAACTCAGGACTTCCTGCGACCTTACATCGCTGCCAAGCTGGAGTTTCTTCCAGAAACCTTCGTGTTAGGAGACGAGAAAACCTACAACGGCTTCTATAACAAACCTCTACCTGGACAGCAGCAGTATCGCACATTTATACTGGCGGCACTGAAAGACCGGGACTCGGTGAGCCATACATACACACACACACACACTGACATACATATAATGGTTTCCATTTTTTGGTGGGGACATTCCATAGACAAAATGTTTTTTATACTGTACAAACTATTTTCTGTCCCCTTACCCTAACCCTATTCCTAAACCTACCTCTCACACAAAACTATCTGCTGTTTTAGATTTTCAAAAACTTATTTACATTTACTGGTATTACTATACTAGTGGGCACGTTTGGTCCCCATAACGTAGGGAATGTATTTAGTGTGACCCAGGGTAATAATAGTAATACTAAATAATACAAAAATAATAAATAATACTAAAACTAAAGGCAACACTTCTCATTTAGTTTAACTTTATGTAATAAAATAACTAAACTAAAACTGAAATAAAGATAATATAAACTAAATAGGCATTTGAAAAAAAAAACTGAAAAATAATACAAATTACACACATCAGAATGACTAAATCTGTAAATAAAATTAAAATGGGAAATCTAAAAAATAAAAATAATAATTCAAAATATTAAAAACTATAATAATTCACTGCAAAATATGATTTTCTTACTTTGTATTTTTGTTTTCCATTACAAACATTTAAATATTTGTAAATCAAGAAACATTTACTTGAGAAGATATTAAGTTTTGTTTTCTGAAAAATGTTTCATAATTAAGTGAGTTTTTTTCTTAAAATGAGAAAATATCTTCTAATGGGACAAGAAAAATCATCTTGTTTTCCCTTTAAATTAAGATGATTTTTCTTACCCTATTGGCAATTGGCAGATATTTCTTATTTTAAGCAAAAAGGTTTTTTTCTTTTCTTTTTTTTCAAAAAACAAGACCTAATATCTTAAGTCATTTTGCTTCTCAAGTAAATGTATCTTGAGTACGAAAATCATTTTTTGCATTTCAATGATTCTAAAACACTGATCTGACCAAAAGTATAATCAGCCTGATTTTTCATTCTCAAATCTTAAATTTAAATCCTCAAAAAGAAAGAATGAAAGGAGAGGATCAGAGAAGAAAAAAAGAGGAGAGGATGAGAGGGTCTTGTGAAAAGACAGTCTGCGGTGGGCTGGTAAACAGACTAGCGAGTGTGAAATTGGATGAAAAAGGTCGATTGCAAAACAACCGCAGCACTTAAAGAAAAACAGATTAGAGGAGGAGATGAAAGAAAGAAGGAGAAGGAGACATCACATGAAGGACTGTGGCAGATCAGCAGAGAGTGTGACGGCAGAGGAGAGAGAGATGCTATCATTAATGCTGGAGAGACCTGAGCATTACAGATGAAGAGATGGAGGAGAGGTGAAGGAGGAATCAAAACACACATGAATATGCATCAGTAAATAGTGGCTGCATGGAGTCAGTCAGAGATGCATTTCTCACGCTGTGGGATGCGCTTCCATCTGAGGTAGTGCCGATTAAATTGATCACTATGAAAGTTTCCCACTGACAGATTCCCACAGCGCTTTTAGACGCTTCCTCACTCTGCTGTCACGCCGGCGCTCATCCTGTTGCAGAGAGAGACAGAGGTGATGATCATAATACCCCGGCAGATCTAGAGCCCTGTGATTGTTGTGTAAATGTGCAATTATGGAATCCAGTCATCGAAGTGTCACGAAATGTCACAAAATTTGACATTTTTTATTAACAAATGAAGAGTAGGGCTTATACAATTAACCAAATTCAAATTGTGATGCAGACTAGCATTTAAGATGCAATTTAAATATGAAATCTGCATGTTCTGCGTGTTTCTGTGAGAACGAGCTCTGCAGTTTGTCTGCTACACATACTGAAGCACACGTGACGCTCTGGTGTTTCAGTGTCTGCTCTCACTAAATGAGGACATGAACACATGAATTTCATCTCCAGAGCTGCTCTGAGAGTCACTTCACAAGCATTTCACCATTTCATTTGATATAAACTTGTCAAATACAAACAAAAAACTCTTCATGATAGGTTTTCAAACTCTTCAAAAAGGTCTTCATGACAAACCACCAAAATAAAATAAATACGTAAATGTACTTCTCAAAGTAATAATAATAATAATAATAATAATAATAACACTGCAATATATTCAAACATTATTTTAGGAAAATCATACAATCAAGTGTTAAAAGTTTTATGAAATCTCTATTTTCTTTCTTTTTTTTTTTTTTTGGGGGGTGGGTAAATTTGATTTCATAGGCTAAAATGTTTTTTAAAGTTTAATAAATTACTGAACTAATGATTTCAATTGATTAGATATGATTTTTGCTAATTAAATTTTAATTAAATCAATAACACAGAATCCAGAAAATTTAAAGCAAAAAACATGAAATTTGAGAAACTACTATGCAATTTGGGGAAAATGGAGCAGTTTTCATAGGACCCTAGAGATCCCACTGTTGCTCCATGAGTGTTATGGACGTGTCTGAAACAGAAAAGAGCTGCCTCACTGCCCATTGAGTCAATGACTTAGAGGCCATTCTTTGAAAAACGCAAGACACGGACAGTGGAATGGGGAAAAACACAAGGTCTCGATGCAAAAAAATATCCGTTCAGTCTGGAAGGAGTTGGTGGACATGCATTTAAGATGATTTACAGGCTGAAAATTGATCCATTTAGTGTTATGATGTGCCGTGCATATTAGCGAACTCACCCGTCCCTCAAGATTACAGCACAATGAGCACTCATCCAGTGATCACAGCTTTTTCATTTCTTGCATAATTGTATGAAAGATGAACTTTGGTGTTTGGCTTTGGGAAAGAAGTGTTTTTTCATTGGTTTAAGGCTAAGGAACAAACAGAAAGCAGCCAATCGGGATGCACACAAAAGCTCATTCGGAGTGGATGCTCGATTAATTTGACACAAACTAAACAGTTTAATTTATCATACTGTTGTGTTCCTTGGTGTCGGTCATTTTGCCAATCATTTCCCAAAAAAAATTAATTAATTAAGCAGAGTGAAATTAGACATAAAACATGTTTAGACAGGAGGAAAAAACAAGCGAGATAAATTGAATTTCTCAGCTGATCCTTCTCTTACGTTAACTAGGAGAATCTCATGGAGAATCTCACACATGTATCTGAGTTTCAGAAGAGATCTCAACAATGTCTCAATCTGTGCTCAAATGTGTCTGTAGCTTAAAAATATAGATCTCTGTATAAACTTAATTATTAATAAATTGTCTGAGCTGCTCCACATTTCATTTTATAGCTCTACATTTATCAACTATAGACTCTTTTGCATCTGATTTTATGTATTAAAAAAGTCTCCTGAGCAATGCAAGAGCAACTACTGAGAAATAAAAATCCCCTTTGGTTTTTCCTCACAGATGTGTCAAATTAGATAAGACATTTAAGTTTTCTAATCTGTGCCTATATTGAGATAAAACGTCTCTAGGTTACGTATGTAACCATGGTTCCCCGAGGGAACCGATGAGTTTTGTAAAAATCGACGCGTTTCAGAAAGGCGGGGCATAGAGGAGAAATAATAATGTACAGTATGTGGAAAATAATGTGTTTTTTGAACCTTAAACCGCATAAACACATTTCATTTCACCAAATACACAAAATAATGTTCTTTTTAGCAACATCATATGACCCCTTTAATACTTTAAATCATTTTCTATCTCAAGTAAATGTATCTTGATTTAAGAATTTTAGATATTTGTACACACTGTTAAATCATATTTAGCAGTGTGTTGTTCCAAACCTGAATTTCTTTCCTCTGCAGAACATGAAATAAGGTATTTCGAGAAATGTCTATATATAAAGTATGAGACAGTGGTCATTTTTGGGTGAACTGTGGGTTTGTGCGCTGAGACTCCTCTGAGACTCTGTGTTTGTGCTGCACTGCTGTAAATGAGTTCTGGGCAGTGGTGGTTTCTGTGGTTCCTGGTGTCGCTTCCGGAGGGAATGCAGAAGGTGTAGCTCTGATGGGATTTAGTTGATGATGCATATCCTTTGCTTCTCAGCGGGATGGAAGAGGTTACCCCTCCCTCAGCCCTTTCTCTCTCTCTCACACACTTCCTCTATCTTCCTGTTTCCATCCCTCTTTCTCCTGCACCCCGCTGTGCTGTCTAAAAGGTGTTATTAAGACGATTAGTTGCCAGCGTTTGTGGAAGGAGCCTGACTTCTGTGCTACTTTGAAGATGTGAAGGTTTCCTCCTGCTCTGCCCAAACACCCATCAATAGATTTTCAGTTTGTATGTGATCACTTAACGTCATAAAACATCACATTGAGGCTGACAGTGACAGTGTTGATACGCATATTGGCTGTCTCATAAAAAACACATTTTTACCTACAAAATTTTTACCTACAACCTTTAACATTTTTATAGGAGATGGCATAGACAACACCAAAGACAAAATCTATTTTTGCTTGATCTCTGTCACATCCTCTAACACATCCTATAAAGCCTGTATGATGCATTACAATAATGTTCATAGTGTCATTTTAAAGGTGACCTATTATGTCCCTTTTTACAAGATGTAAAATAAGTCTCTGATGTCCCCAAAGTGTGTATGCCAAGTTTTAGCTCAAAATACCCCACAGATAATTTTTTATAGCTTGTTGAAATTGTCACTTTTAGAGTATGAGCCAAAACGCGCCATTTTTGTGTTTGTCCCTTTAAATGCAAATGAGCCGGTGCTCCCACCTCCCTTTTCAGCAGAGGGAGGAGCTTCAAGAGCTCATGCTACGGCATACAGGCAACATGGTAGCTTTAGCAACATTAGCCTTACAGAGTGCCAAGAAGCTCTTTTGGAAAACAAAATATGATGCGTTTGTGAGGCAGTCCGGCGTAAAATGATTAGCACAAACATATAGGACTTTTCAGTTTTTTCCACGACATTTCCTTCAAAACTGAAATGTAACCACCGTGTCCTTGGCAGTCTATGGAGAATCCTATGTTCGTTGGTGCATCCCGAAAAACTACACTTGTAATGCCTCTTTGGCGCTGAGCAGCTACAGCAACAAGAAACAGTAATGGCGGACTGCTGCTTCTCACTCAGGGCTGTGTCTATGCTAATAGGGTAGAGATTGTCACAAATGGGCGGGACTTTGCCTAGTATGATGTCATTAGGGAGAAATCTGGAACCGCTCGTTATAAAAAAAAATTAGTAGGTGGATTTTTACCATTATAGGCTGTTTGTTTTCACACACTGCGGCCAGACTACTGTGTTCAAACATCTTATACAAGTGATTTTTGCATAATAGGTCACCTTTAAGTATTCACTTTCTAGTTTTATAGACATATATATAATTATATAGGCATGTATAATGTATGTCCACTTGTTCATATGTATGAATTTCTTTACAAAACTATTATTTATTTATTCATTCATGCAGGCATGCTTAAATAGATGAGTTTTGACCAGATGATAAAGGAAAAGCATTGTTTAAAGTTGTTTAAGAGTCTTCTGATGACCTGAGTAAACTAAGCTGGAATCTAAACAAAGAGATTAGAAGAAATAAAGTTTAAGAGAGTTTTAATTTATTTATTACAGGATTTCCCAAACATGGATTTGTGAGTTGATGAAAACCTAACAATTTATTAAATCATAAAATGTAAAATTGAAGAAAAAGAAATGTTAACATTTACTTAAATACACTTATAAACACTTATTAAAAAAAGATAATCATTTAAAAAAAATTATTAATGCAATTACTGAAATATTATTTGAGGTCAAAGTATTCACAAAAAAGTTTAAGAATCCCTGAATTAAGTATCTAAAGAAAGGGTTTGAAAGAACCAACATTTAGGAGAGTTTTCATTTACAGAGTTTCCCAAACTGCGATTCATGAGAACCGAACAATTAAATAAAATAAAAAAATGTAAATAATAATAGTAATAATAATGATTATCTAAACATTTACTTAAATACACTTACTAAAAAGAGACAAACATTAAAATATAAAAATATATATTTTATGTTTACTTGCATGTCATGTGACCATTAATTGACCTCAGAGAACCGTGAACATGCAAATGTGTTTTTAAATTATTGAAATATTAAATAAAAAATAAATATAACAAAAAAAGTTTGAATGTATTTTATTACTGCATAATTCCCTTAATTCTGTTTGTACTGTATTATGTCATAGTTTTGATGACTTTAATGTGGAAATGTGGAAAGTAGTCCTAATAAAGAATGTGTGTTTTGATCTTTTGAGTAATTCTTGTCCTTTCTGCATGCTCTCTTTCTTTCTGTATCATAAGATGTTCACGGTGAGCCCTTACTCTGATCCCATGATGGTGAAGCTCCACAGCGGGATGTCCCATCACGTTGAGGACCCAGAGATGCTGTGGGTGATGGGACCAGTGCTGGCCGTCGTCCTCATCATCATCATCGTCATCACCATCCTGCTCTTCAAGAGGTACTATTACTTTACTGAAAAATACAATCAGTCATCCAGCACTGAGATCGCATTGCATTCTGCTTTAGTGACCATATTTTCTTTTTCGCCGTGCGTAGCAAACTAGAGTTTACTGTACTTCCTCCTGTCAGGTATAAATAGCCAGTCTCTCTCAGAGACATTGCTGACTCAGTGTAAGAGCAGAAAATCAAAAAGTCAAGAAATCTTATTTTAGTATGACAGTCAGCAATTTACTTTTTTCTTAGAATACTCTTTTTCTGAACACTTGGACAGAGCTTTATTGATAAAATAATGATAGTATATTTTTGAACTAGACTGCAGAAATGATATTTGATTGCACACCTAACAAAAATCTGATCTCCCCAAATTACGTCAAAGTCACAGACAAAATGTGTCCCTCTTCTCAATTATGACCAAATCCATTTGGCCTTATTGAAGAGTGCAGGACAATCAAATGCCTAGAGTTCAAGTTAGATGTCTATTGAGTGAAAAGAAAACTCATTTTGCAAATGTCAGCTCGAATCGGAGCTCATTAGTAGCAATGGCATTTCCACATTTCTGACAAATTCACCCTACACACACCGCCTGTGCCGTTTTCTTCCTGTGACATTTTCTCTTTTCTTCCCTCTACTTTTCCATTTCTTTCTGTGGGATGCAGCAAACAGGAGAGGTGGGTATTGAGCGGCTCTCTTTGATCCGATAATAAACGCTTGTTTGTGTTTGGTGTTTAATGAGAGGCAATTGAACAGTTTAATTGAACTCAGATTAGTGCTACTGCTCTCTAACACATACTAACACACAGGAAATATCAGTAACACTTTACAGTAAGGTGCTATTAGTTAACGTCTCGGTTACGTATGTAGGGAACGGAGACTCCGGGTCTCACTTGAGAGCCCCAATCACCTCTGAGCATTACGAGAAACGGCCAATGACAATTGGCGAGTGGAATTTGCATGCCAAGCCACTCCCCATACATACGGGTATATAAGATGGCGGCGGGCATCCACTCATTCAGGTTTGTGCAGAGGAGCCGAGAAAGCATCCCGTCATTCAGCACAGTTCACGGTTGTAGCATGAGGGATGTATGTCTCTGTTCCCTCCTTCAGGAAGCAATTGTTACATACGTAACTGAGATGTTCCCTTTCAGTCAGTCACATCCATAGAATAGTGTTACGAAAATAGAATTGTGTTACGAAAATTGAAGGAGCAGAGCCAGACCTCCCGCAAATTACCTGTTTATACCCAACACATGGGAGGAAACTGGCTCCACCCGGAGATTATAGAATCTCACGAAGGTATTAGGTGTCGCCCAGCCCGCAGCTCTGCAGATGTCTGCTAGAGAGGAGCCGTGCACCAACACCCAGGAGGACACAACACTCCGAGTGGAATGAGCTCTCACCCCCAGGGAGCACGGTTCGCCTTGTGCCTGGTACACCAAAGCGATGGCATCCACTAGCCATTGGGCCAACCTCTGCTTGGAGACAGCCTTCTCCTGCTGTCCTCCAAAGCAAAAAAGAACTGCTTAGAACATCTCAAGCTCTGGGTGCGTTCCACGTAAATGTGCAAAGTGCGAACGGGACACAGCAACACAAGGGCTGGATCTGCCTCCTCCAAGGGCAGCACTTTCAAGTTCACCACCTGGTCCCGAAAGGGAGTGGTGGGAACTTTGGGCACATAACCGGGCCGGGACCTTAAAATAGCATGAAAATCAGCCGGCCCAAACTCAAGGGACGATTCGTTGATAGAAAATGCCTGCAGGTCCCCAACCCTCTTGATAGATGTGAGCACGACCAAGAGTGCTGCCTTAAATGACAGGAGTCAAGCGGGTCAAAGGAAGCTCCCCGTAGTCATGCCAGGACCACAGAGAGATCCCAAAAGGGAGCAAGGCATGCCTTACAGGAACCTGATGATCAGGTCGTGCTTCCCCAAGGATCTTCCCTCCACTGCATCTTGATGTGCTGCAATGGCAGTGACATACACTTTCAAAGTGGAGGGGGACAGGAAGGAAAGCACAACGCTGACCGGCATCCCTCAGTGAGAGCAACACCAGTCAATGAACAGACCCCAATTCGGAGCATAGGCCTGCCTGGTAGAGGGGGCCCTAGCCTGAGTGATAGTATCTATCACAGCCTGTGAGAGGCCTGAGAGGTCTACCGCATCCCGTCCAGAAGCCAAACGTGCAGGTTCCACATGGGTGCCAAATAGTGCCCTGCCCCTGAGAAAGAAGGTCCCTCCTCAGGAGGATTCTCCAAGGAGGGGATGTTGCAAGGAGCGTGAGATCAGAAAACCAGGTCGGGGTGGGCCAATACGGCGCAACCAACAGGACCTGCTCCACCTTACTTTAAAGTGTTACAGAAGTATCTTACATATTTACACATTCATCTGATCTCTTTGTGTTTTTACTCTCATGTTTGATGTCATTTCCTGTCTGCGCAGGAAGCGGTCCTCTCCCTCGGCTAAAGATGAGCATTCGGCTGGAGTTAAAGATCACTTACTGGCCCACTCCTCTGACCCGGTGGAAATGAGGAGGCTCAACTACCAAACACAAGGTACGTCAAGATGGATGCTTTCCATGGACTTCTGTTGTTTTAACACCGAGCTATTGAGTTACAAACAGCTCATCACATTTATAAACACACAAAGCTGTGTTTGAAAGCAGTGTGGCTTTCCTTGCCTGTTAAGGGGGTTTTCTTGAAATCTCGAGCTGCTCATTCGAAGCACATGAGATACAAGACTCCGGTAACTTACGTTGGTGTTTACTGTAGCATTTTTACAGTGGTTTTCTGTAAAAAAAAAAAAAAATAGGGATAATCACTTTCACGCGAGCAATAAGGGAAAACTGCATAACGACGTACATTTTGAGGTAATCATTCCTCATAGTCACACAGCCTGTTAGGAGCTGTAAATAATATTAAAGTATGAGAATTAACCTGCACTAGTCAACAGATGCACATGGCTCCGACAAACCATTCACGCGACTGCTGCGCATAAGAGGTGCTTCAGATCAATGCTGCGCTGTGCTTTCGCATAGGTTAAGTCAGTTTAGCCTCAGTCACGCTACGTGACTGAGTGCTTGTCAGCTTACCGTTTATTCTGCATTTGTTGCTCTAAGCAATAAATTAATTACCGCTATAAATGCTGGTTATTTATAAGTCTGTATACATAGTTCTCAACATTCCACACACAAATTACTATGGCGGTGTTGTGTGGACAACAACATTCACACACATACAGTCGTGTTCATTAGGGCCACACTGTAAATCTGTTATTCAAAGTCTAATTTAAACATTAAAATAAACGTACTTTTAAGATTTTGAAAAGTTCTGAAAAAATACTTAAGAAGTTCTTAGGTAATATGCTCCTAACATAAGGAAATACAGCACCCCACAAAGATTGGGGAAAATAGTCAATTTTTAATGCTATTGAACTATTTTATGCATACTTTTCTGTACTGACTGTACTATCATGGACATTTCTTTACACCTGTCCATCATCTTTGAATATGCATTTTGAGATCCTTAAAAGATGCATGCGATGCTTCCTCAGAATGAGGTCTGAAGCATCATGATACTGCACACCTTTTGTAACGGTGCTTCTGTGATACCTTAAAATGCTCACTAGGTTTTGCAACAGAGTTTCTTTAGGAAACAAATGAGTTTGGGGTTGTTTGGATGTAGACTTCAGAAAGAGAGACAGAACTGCTCACTGGATTTATGGACGTCAGTTTCAGCTGGAGCTTCGGTGTGAAGACAAAACATTATTCACATAGCCACACTGTCAGGTGAAGGACACACTGAGGAGCAGAACCTGCCAGCTAATCTCAAACAACACACACACACACACACACACACACAGTGGCATCAGATCGTATTGCTTCATTCGGTTCAGACTGAGCTTTGAAGTTGATGGATAGAATTAAACAGGATGATTCACTCTTTCTCACTCCTTTCAATCCATATTTTGCACTTCTCCCTCTGTCTCTTTCTATTTTTCTCTCTTTCTCTCAGGGGAAATTTCTGAATGCTCAGACATTTTGCTGACTTCAATAAGAATCTGCTTTTGCTTCAGTTGCAAAGTGACTCATGTTCTTATGTCAGATTGTTGGGCTACAAGCGCACGCTCGACTGATGCGCAATCTTTCTCGTGGCGAAACTGGGAGAAATATTCATGTCAAATTCCCTGCCATGGAAATTGATTTTCCTTGCTTGCAAATCTTCAAATGAAGAACCAGACTACCAGTACTGTTGTTGTTTACTTGTGAAAGTTCAGAATTTGTGTTTCAAAAAGCTTTAGGACACTTTGAAAATGTAAAAATGGCTTACCTCACAGATAAAGAGTGTTTGTTGTGTAGATGCATGTTTGACGTTTCAGGCAAACTGTGTTTGAAAAGGCATCCGTGACGTGCAGACTATATTCCAGCACCTCATTCATACTTTGGGCCATGTCATAATAACAGTGAATAATGTGACACACAAAGTGCAATTTAAACATCCTCTTGTGTTTTGACATGCTGAAATTCAAACAGTCCTTGATTTCTGAAACGAAAGCTTTAATGTGAACTAAAGAAAGACAAAGGGCCTATCTATCATGGACGCAAGTGTTTTTTGCTAGTTTCAGCCCGATGATTTCACGTCCTGCGCCATGTTGTTTAAATAGCAAATGCATTTGCGCCCATTTGTGCGCCCATGGGCTTGTCTGAAAACAAGGTGTGTTCAGGCGCATTGTTGGCGCGTTGCTATCTTGAGGCAACTGGAATATACTGCACCTTTGACCAACTGAACCCTGGTCTAAAGTCAATGGCGCAATATTTTTTTTGTTAATTAAAGAGTGAGTTAATAATATGCGCCTATAGGCGGGTGAACAACACACGTACACTCTGCTTATTACAAACACAGGGACGTGCAGCAGCGCACAAACATGCCAAATATTAAAAATGAAAGGATTACAATGTAAAAGATTATTATTGTACCTCCTCTCCGGAGAAGCGTTCAGTCTTTGCTCTTGCAAATTCTGTCATGGCGCGAGCACAACTGGCCTTTAAAGGGAATGGGAGATGAGATTCTGATTGGTTTATTGCACGTTACGCCCAAAACACACCCATGACTCATTAGGAGAATAGGTACAATCCTTTTGGACCATGCGCCCGGCGCGCCTACCGTTTTTCCCGTCGTTAAACTAGCAAAAGTTGATTCGGACACGCCCTAAGTGCACTTGCGCTGTGCGCTTTAGACCATGTGCTTAGATCGTTAAAATATGGCCCAAAGTGCCTTTCATACGTTAGATTTCAGTGCTTCATTCTTTAGAAGGTTGATGTAGAAACTGACCTTATTTACATTACTGTTCAAGGGTCAATACATTCTTTTAAGGAAATGTATACTTTTATTCAGCAACAATGCATTAAATTAATCAAAAGTGACAGTAAAGGAATTTATAATGTTGCAAAAGGTTTCTGTTTCCAGTAAATGCTGTTCTTTTGAATTTTTCATTCATCAAAGAATCCTGAAAATAAAATGCATCATGGTTTCCACAAAAATATTAAGCGGCTATTTTCAACATTGATAATAATCAGAAATGTTTCTTGAGCAGCAAGATATATTCAAATACCAAACAGATATTTTGAATTGTAAAAATATTTTACAGTATTACTGTTTTTTACTGCACTTTTGATCAAATAAATGCAGCTTAGGTGAGTAATTTCTTTCAAAATCATTAAAAATCCCAAATTTATGAACTGTAGTGTATTTTTTTAAATATATGTATATATGTATGGATGTAAATTGGAACTTCTGAAACTACTGGGTTGCTGAAACTAATGCAACCAAGTTTAATGTGATGGGGAAAAAAATAATATTAACCAGTAATTTCTCAGCCAGCTTCTTAATCTAATCAAAACGCCCCACCCTACATTATTTCTGTCATGACAACTCTCTGAGAGTTTAGCATGGTAATATACATGTCAATGTTAATGTGTTTGGTCTTGGCGGTAAAGATCTGCCACGCTGCTGCTGCTGCAGAGCAAGTACAGAGACTTGCTACTGCCAGTACATCCACAGACATGCTGCTGTGAGCATGTAGGAAATACTGCTGCTGCTGCACATATAACATATATGAAATAACCCCCATATATAACATACATGAAATTATACAGGTGGAGCTGGGGAAGGTGGAGGGTTTCTAGCACTAGCCAAGTATTTGAATGTTGAGCAGCAAGCTCATTGGCCCATTGGTGAATGATGATGTAATTATATCAGATTGAGTCAGAACCTGCACAGTCTATTTTGTTTCAATCAAAATTATGTCATATTACGGAAGTTAAATATGTTGGGGAAGCAGTTTCATGTTGTCTTCTTCCTCTCATGGGTGTTTCTCTTGCTCTTTCTGTACATACTCTTTCCTCTTCCTCTCTCTTCTGTAAGTGACATACATCACAGTCCCTCCTCAACTTCTTTCTGCAGGTTCCAGTGCCTTCAGCTGCCCCAGCACTTCAAGTTAGTTTCACTCTTGCTTTCCTGTGTGAACTTTCACTACCTTCATCTCTATGCTCCTCCTCCCTGTCCACCAAAGCCACGCCCCCTCCACCACTTTGGCTGCTCTGAGTTAAAGCTTCACCATCTCTCACGTCCTTTCCACAGGCTGTCCGTCTCAAACACCTCAGTTGAGCAGATGTGGGATGGGAGGGAAAACAATCTGTGTTTTTTAACGTGTGCTCAGGTTGTAGTCCTTCTGTGTAATATGCCGGTGTCATTTACATGCCATTTTGATTGTACAGGACAGCTTATGCCACCTTGCTATTGACACGGAAGCAGTTCATATTTCAGCCAATGAGCATGTCCGTTCACTGCTTACATCACTGCCACTGGTCTTAGCACATAGCATGGTGCAAAAAGCATAGTGCTTTCTCCTTTGCCTTCTATTTTTCTCATGCTTTGGGTTGTTTTCATGTGTGCCCATCTTCCAAAAGCCTAAAAACTGTGTGGATCAAAGTGTGTTTATTCCTCAGTTCAGCCAACCAAAACCAAACAGGCCAATACAAATCTCTGCTATCAGTTCATCCTCTCTTTCTCCCTGCAGGAATGCGGGAACACCCTCCAATTTCTGTCTGTGCTTTGGCTGACCACATCGAGCAGCTGAAAGCCAACGACGGCCTACACTTCTCACAGGAATATGAGGTAACTCTTCCCAAGTCACGTCAGAGTGTCCGTCTAAACAACTTTGAGGAGAATTGTTCTCCCTCTCTACCTTCTGTTGAAACCACCGAGGGATAATTGCTTGACGTCCTGCAAACATCAGCAATTTACATACAAATGTCTACTAAGTTAAATCAGGACAATAAGGGGAGGAGAAAGCTGGAAAACACTTGTGCTTCTTCCGACCTACATCTGCATGTGTGGAATATGTAAATTGTAGAACAGAACAATGAAGATAAGAGTGAAGAAGTTTCCTCTAACAGTGAGGAAACAGTGGATTTATTATGGCTGTACATTTAAAGCAGATCAGTTATAAATAGAGCTCCAAACTGCAGTTATGGTGAAGCCTAAGCACATTCTTAGTTTAATTGTGCTAATCATATCACTAACTATTCATTTCAAAAGTTTGGTGTCCGTAATAAATGAATACTTTTATTCTGCAAGAATGCATTCAATTGTTCAAAAGTGACAGTAAAGACATTTTTGAATGTTACAAAGATTACTATTTAAAATAAATACTGTTCTTTTGAACTTTTTATTGATCAAAGAATCCTGAAAAAATTTTATCACGGTTTCCACAAAAATATTCGGCAGCACAACTGTTTTCAACATTGATAATAATGAGAAATGTTTCTCGAGCAGCAAATCAGCATATTAAAATGATTTACTGGAGTAATGATGCTGAAAATTCAGCTTTACATTACATTTTTAAATATATTCAAAGAGAAAACTGTTATTATGAATAGTAATAATATTTCACAATATTACTGTTTTTACTGTATTTCTGATCAAATAGATGCGGCCTTGGTGAGCAGAAGAGACCAGTTTGGTCTGAGAAGTGAAAGTGAATTGAGTTCTTCCATTGCTAGTTTGGGTTCACTGCATGTAAAGCTACCAACCACACTTTTTATGTATTACATAGTTAGGGGCAGATCTATTCAAAATAGCTGAAACCACAATAATAGACCAACTTGATCTGTATAGAAAACACTGAAGAAATTGACAATAAACTGAAAATATCCAGTGATTAGTTTTTTGTCATTGCATTAAAATATGACTTTTGATGGACAGATGTACCCCAACTCCCAGAAGTTGCATAAAGCCAGCCAAACATATAGAAAGTGCTAATTTTGAGCCAGACCTTGAAATTTTTTCGTGCAGAATGGATCACACAGCGAATGGCCTGTTGGTGACTGTCTGATGCTGTTACTACTCCATCACAGACAAACAGCTAAAAGTGTTCACCTTACAATCTCAAAAAGATTACTGTTTATAAATGTGAGCCCTTCAACATCTCATGTTCAGCAAGTGCTGCTGTGCATTACTCAAATGTGCTGAAATGACACTAAGAACTTGTGCTTCTTCATAATACTACAACGTACACATGCATTTACAGACAGTCCTCATACACACACACACACTCACTCACTCACTCACTCACATCAGCATCTCAGGCAGTACCCAGATCACCAGAGCTTGAAATTAAAGCTGGGAAATGACTCTATTTGAAGTGTAGTGAGTGTGAGAGTCACCTGCTTTATTAGATGGCTAATCCTGCAGTGTGTGTGTGTGTGCGTGCGTGTGTGCGTGTGTGTGTGTGTGTCTGCTTGAGTTGTTATTGTACATTGAGCAGCACTTCTGAGTACTTAAACAATCAAGACCTTAATATAGACATCAAATACTGAGAGAGCAACAGTGATCTAATCAAACGCCAAATGGCTCACATTAAACTGCAATACAAAAGAAGCTAACAAGATAAACAGATTTAGAGCAGGCTTATGGGGAGGGAATTGTGTACAAAGATGGAGAGAAAGCAATATACCTGTTGGTAAATAATAAGATAGAGATAGATCGGTGTGAGCCTGTCATCTCTGGGAATGTCCTCATGCATGCATTTTATTTGATATACACCATTCAAAAGATTTTTTTTTAAATAAATTAATAATTTTATTCAGCAAGGACACATTAAATTACAATAAGGACATTTATCATGTTAAAAAAGATTCAAAGATACTGAAAAAAAATTTATCATGGTGTCCACAAAAATATGAAGCAGCACAACTGTTTTTAACATTGATAATAATCAGAAATGTTTGTTGAGCAGCAAATCAGCATATTAGAATGATTTCTGAAGATCATGTGACACTGAAGACTGGAGTAATGATGCTGAAAATTCAGCTTTGATCACAGAAATAAATTACATTTTACAATATATTCACATAGAAAACAGTTATTTTACATTGTAATAATATTTCACAATTTTAGTGTTTTTACTGTCTTTTAAAACAAATAAATGCAGCTTGGATGAGCAGAAGAGACTTCTTTCAAAAACTAAAAAAAAAAATGTAATGGTAGTGTACACAGAGAACAGAGAGAGCTACCAGATGAAGAAAAATGTCCAACAGACCTTCAGTCGAGCTCATTGAAGCTTATGGTACAGAAATATTAACTTTGTAAATGTATTTCATTTCAGAGACATTTTTTTAATAATACTCTGCTATTTTTATCCTTGTTTTATAATGGAGAGCAACCACAGATCAGGGCAGAGCTAACAGCACACAAGGATAACACATCCTCAGATCATACATAACGCCTGCATTAAAACCTGTGATGTTTCAGTGTGAGAAACAGGAGACCATTGAATAAGACATGCGTTCCTTCTCAACACTGCTGTATGACATGACCCACACAGTAGATAGAGACGAGAGAGAAGACTTCACTATATAGTGTGACAGAGAGACACTATTAAATGCTATTAAAATGAATATTTTATTGCTCAGATGTTGCTGTTTCATGTTGCTATAGGTCTGAGTTATGTTATATTCACACCAAAAACCCATTGGTCTGAAGTACCGCTCCTCGTGTATATTAACTATCACATATGGATGAGAAAGAAACATTGTGGATGCAGAGAAACATTAATATAATATGAAAAATCCATCAGTGCCATCTGGAGAGATGTCATGCAAGTCCAGAAAATAGAAGTTGTGTGTTTTATCTAGTGCAAACAAACTGACAGAACTCGTCACACACTCTTCTGATTAGCTGTGATTGTGTTGCATTGTGCAGCATTTTAGCCTTCAATTTCCAGATTGCTTGTTGTGAATCTTATTGTGTCAGGTTAGCACACAATGTTAAGATACAGCATGAAACACAGAAAGTGCATAGGGCTTGTGCGTGTTAATTTGAAATGCATTGATGCAGCCATGGCCAGCGATCAAACCAATCCTCATCACAACACGTCGACAAACACACACATACAAATGTACAAAATCAAATAAAAATGCAGTGTGTTGTTAGACAGTGTAAGCTGACAAACAATCACCTGCAATATGGCAGATGTGTAGTGATTTATGATTATTCATAGGCTGTTCTTCATAATCCATCTGTTAGTGACAGAACATCACCTCTGGTTGCTCTTCAATTCATATACATCTAGAAAAATGTCGCATTGCCCTTAGAATGAACTGTATGTGTCACTGTCCAATGAGATTTGTTTAGCCTCTTTAAGAGCATTCTCATCTCACGTTCAAAAGATTGGGCTCAATAAGACCTTTTAAAAGAAATGAATACTTTTATTCAGCATGGATGCATTAAATTGAACAAAAGTGACAATAAAAGCTCTTATAATTTTATAAGATTTCTGTTTCAAATCAATTGTTTTGAACTTTCTATTCATCAAAGAATCCTGAAAAAATCAGCATATTAGAATGATTTCTGAAGATCATGTGACACTGAAGACTGGAGTAATGATGCTGAAAATTCAGCTTTGATCACAGGAATAAATTACATTTTACAATATAAATATATAAAGAAACAGTTATTTTGAATGGTAATAATATCTTACAATATTAATGTTTCAAATAAATGAAGTGTTGGCAAGCATAAGATTCATATCGACCCCAAAAAATCTTATCAACCCCAAACTCTTGAATGGTATTTTATGTTTCATATAGTTGATATGTTTTGTTCATTATAACTGAAGAACTGCTGGCGGTTCTGCTAGAAACGCAGCGTCTCAGAGCTGCGGTAATGTGATGCAAGGAGACTAGAGAGCAGACGTCTAAACCGCACCCTCTGGCCTGTTTTCTCATCACTATGGTAACAGCAGGGCTGGATTAGGCAGGTCTCTAAAGCGCCGGAGCGATTCCAGCTGCCGTGATCGTGCAGGAAACGCTGGGCAGGTCAAGGTAGAGATTTGCAGAGATGTGGTGCGTCTGCGAGGTTTTGCAGCATCAGTTCCTGCTGTGCCAGAGTCGTCTTATTATGAATGATTCATTGGTGCACATTATTCCATGGCTTGGTAAACTTTCATCAAAATGAAATTAAACTTGCTCCACCTCTGAAATTACTTTCGTTTTTAGCTGATGATGTCTGAAACCCCATCCCACTAGTCACCTGTCATATGTGACCCTGGACCACAAAACCAGTCATAAGGGTCAATTTTTTTAAATTGAGATTTATACATCATCTGAAAGCTGAATAAATAAGCTTTCCATTGATGTATGGTTTGTTAGGACAATATTTGACCGAGATACAGCTAGTTGAAAAGCTGGAATCTGAGGGTGCAAAAAAAACATTTATTGAGAAAATCGCCTTTAAAGTTCTTAGCAATGCATATTACTAATCAAAAATTAAGTTTTTATATATTTACGGTAAGAAATGTACAAAATGTCTTCATGGAACATGATCTTTACTTAATATCCCAATTATTTTTGGCATAAAAGAAAAATTTATCATTTTGACCCATACAGTGATTTTTTGGATATTGCTACAAATATACCCCAGCGACTTAAGACTGGTTTTGTGGTCCAGGGTCACTTGTGGTCCAAGTTATAGTCCATTCCCTCGTTAAATTATACTATTTCCCTTTATCTTTTCTCATTAAATATCCTGTTTCACTCTGAAATAAATTATGTTACAGTAAAATAGGTTTTCATGAGTGTCGTTTGGCTCAACCAATGGCATAAGATTGGGGGCGGGACTAAATAATGGGCAGATGAGAAAGTATTTAGGAAACATGTTGGAATTATTTTTGCAGAAGATTTGAAGGGTTTGATGTAAAAGGGGAATTATTACCGTTTTCTCATGTGATATTTAGTATTTACACTAATCATTTCAAAGTTGAAGTGCGTCTATTGTCTTCCTTTTTTCTGTCACTGGTGTTGGTCTAGCTTTCTAACAAACGTTCTCATGTTTTGTCTTTCTGTTCTGCAGTCTATTGACCCTGGTCAGCAGTTCACCTGGGAAAACTCCAACCTAGAGGTCAACAAGCCCAAGAACCGCTATGCAAACGTCATCGCTTACGATCACTCCAGAGTCGTGCTGATCCCCACTGATGGTGAGTCCAAAAACACACCTATATATATTAGCGTTCAAAAGTTTGAGGTCAGCAAGTTTTTTTCAAATGCTTTTTTGACTCTCTTCTGCTCATCCAGGCTGAATTTATTTGATCAAAAATACAGTAAAAACAGTAATATTGTGAAATATTATTGCAATTCAAAATAACGTTTTTCTATGTGAATAGGTGTTAAAATATGATTTATTTCTGTGATGCAAAGCTTAATTTTCAGCATCATTACTCCAGTCTTCAGTGTCTCATGATGCTTCAGAAATCATTCTAATATGCTGATTTGCTGCTCAAGAAACATTTATTATCATAGAACAGTAGTGTTTATAGCTTGACATCTCAAAATAAAGAGTCATTCAGCTACGATGAGTTCTGCACAGAATCTGCATCTACTGAATTCTGTGAAAGGCCATCAAGTCCAAATCATGCCTGTTTATTAAATATTTTGGGTAATTTCAAAGTACTCTCAATGCTATTTTAAAGGGGTCAAAACGAAGCGTTTGAGAGAGGCGGGGCATAGAGGACCTACAATAATGTACAGTATTTGAAAAATAATGTGTTTTTTGAACATTAAAGCATGTCAACATATTCTGTTACACCAAATACACAAAATAATGATCTTTAAAAAAGCATCATATGACCCCTTTAATATATTTTAAAATATAACTAGAAAATAAATAATAAAAGTCTACATATTTCACGTGTGCTTACCAAGGCCATCAGTACAATGAGCGCTCAGTTCTCAGCCTTTCATTGTGTGTTAACACTGCACTGCTGAACCGCAGGTGTACCGGGGAGCGACTACATTAATGGAAACTACATTGACGGCTACCGCAAGCAGAACGCTTACATGGCCACTCAGGGTCCTCTGCCCGAGACGTTCAGTGAATTCTGGAGGATGGTGTGGGAGCAAAGGGCCAGCACTATCGTCATGATGACCAGACTGGAGGAGAAGAGCAGGGTGAGATTTTACTCCTCATTTCGTGTTGTCTGGCTCCTGCCCCAGAGTGAGAGAAATGTTTTTAGTGATGACAAGAGATGCAGATGGCATGGAAATGATCTCTCACTCTTTATATGGAATTAAATAAACATTCTAGAGGAATCGTTTTAAAATAGGAACTTATAAAGACTATTAATCACAATAAAGACTCTCCCTACACATTGCACTTCAACCATTACTTCAAACAGCAGCTATTATAATGTTTTTTTAGGGGGTTGTTCAGCCAAAAATTAAAATTGTCATCATTTATTCACCCTAATGTCATTCCAAACCTGTACAAATATTTAAAAACAGAAGAATAAGAGTCATACAGGTTTGGAATGACACGAGGCTGAAAAAATGACAGTTTTAATTTTGGGGTTTCTTTTGCCTTTAGGATGTCAGATAATATCCCAAACACCTCGTGGACACATGCAAACACGTGTCCTGTCTGTGAATTACAGAGAAAAGGAAGTGACCACTCCTCATAGGAGAGTCGAACAGGAAGTGATGTGTGTGCATGTGTGTTTGTGAGAGAGGGAGGTGTCACGTGTTCCCTCACCTGCCGTGTGACCAGATGGTCATTCTGTTTTTCCTCCACATGGTCAGTCTCAATATACATGAATGTGATTCAATGCTAGCTTTCTAATGGAATTATGTACCTCACGATTCACAATTATATTATAATTTGCTGTATATAGATCTATACTATACTATATACTAGGACTGTGCAATTAATCGCATGCGATTGTCATGCGCATCTCGTCAGTAAAGTCGATACCTATCTATCTATCTATCTATATACATATATATATAGAGAGAGAGAGAGAGAGAGAGAGAGAGTTTACTTACTAACATTTACTTTAACTGTTTTAATACATTAAAACATTGCCTAAAAAAGAATATACTGATCGAATTGGACAAACCTTGATATTATCGGCTTTAAAGTCAAACTAATCAAACTCTGTGGAGAAAATTCATTTATACGTTCAAAAACCTCCTGTTGCTCTCTATTGTCACAAATATATTGTGCATCGTAAAAAGAAAAAAGAAACATGTTCATTCCACAATAGGAAGTGCCTTTTACAAATTACATTTTTGCCCCCAAAAAATTTGACTTTATTAATGTTAAAGATGCAAAGTTTTTTAAGGGTTTGGGCTAGTCAGACGTATTTATTAATTAGCTTGAATAAGTGCACAGATTGTACCTGTTCTTTGTTGATGAAGGACAGCAGGGTTTATGGAAGCCCAGATGGGTCACGCTAATGCATCTCAACCCCAGACCTACCGGCGTTACTCACACAGCCCTCTGTGCTCGGTGTGTGTTCGCAGTATGTGACCCGTGTGTGTTATCAGAGCCGGAGGTTCAGCCACAGTTCTGGCCGGTCTGTGGTGCGTGATGCCCCCATCTGCTTCAGCTTCAGCTGGCCTCCTCTCACTCTTCTCCTGTGCTCTTATGGTCCCTGATGTGTGATGTTTGTGTGTGTCTGTGATTGCAGGTGAAGTGTGATCAGTACTGGCCGAGCCGTGGAACAGAGACATACGGCATGATTCAGGTGTCCATGCTGGATACGGTGGAGTTAGCCACCTACAGCGTCAGGACCTTCGCTCTCTATAAGGTCTGTGTGTGTTTATAGATGACGTAACTGACATTTATTTCGTTTTTTTCATCACTTTTTGATTTGACCTGCAGTGACAAATTATTTGTTTTAAATTAAATTCTGTTTAAAAAATGTATGTAATGACAATCATATACAGAAAAAAACTAGAAAAGAAGTTTAAGATGTTCATTTTGATTTATGTTTAGATACAGCATTCACACAAATGACTAAAACTTTAACTTCTCTGCTCATTAATGCTGAAAATGTCTTTCTGTGACGTTGAGGCGTCGTACAGCAGAACTGAAAAAATGAAGATGGAAAAAGTTCCACAAAAACATCTAAATTTAATTAATAGTAGGAGACAAAACTGCCTCTTAGTAACTTACGGTCTGTTAGGATATTAGTTAGCAACATTTTTAAAATAATTTTTTAATTTTAAAAGAATATTATAACAAAATTGTATAGGCTTTTATAGTAGATTAAATAATTACTATACATTACATTTAACTTATTATATTTAATATTCAACATAGAATGAAACAGAATGAAATAGGGTTTATTCGTTTTTAGTACAATGCTGTAAATGTTTACATGGGTCATATTATACACTGTTGTAGCATTTTTCCCATATAAGTTCACTTACAATGTCAGTCAAGGTTTCCTGGACTAAAAATCAGATTTAGTTTAGTTTTTTATGACCAGTTTTGCACCAGTTTTGGTTTTCTGTATCTTTAAGACCTGTGTTTTGATTGGTTAACCTCCATGTACGATCATAGTTCATCACAACAGGCCAGATGAATACTAAATAGGTCCTGATGTGTAAACGGTCATAAGTTAACGAGCCCATAGTTGTGATGTCACAACCTTAATGATTTCTGATTGGCTTGTTTTTGCAGTTTAGTTCGTGGTTAGATTGTGGAGGGAGATTAATATTATAATTCTATATTATAATCGAATATATTGTAAATAATTGTAGTTATTATAAACATATTCTCTTATTTAAAAACAGCAGGAAAAATCCCTTTTCCATCATATATCTCCTTGAATGTGTTGTAACAGAATGGGTCCAGTGAGAAACGGGAAGTTCGGCAGTTCCAGTTCATGGCCTGGCCGGATCACGGTGTTCCCGAATACCCCACACCAATTTTAACCTTTCTACGCAGGGTCAAGGCCTGCAACCCACCTGACGCCGGACCCATGGTGGTGCACTGCAGGTAGAGCATGATATCCACTCACTTATCTATTAACATGAACATGTGTCTGTGAATTCACTCTAAATCTACCACTTCCCTTGTGTTTCCCATGGCAGCGCTGGCGTGGGTCGGACAGGCTGTTTTATCGTAATCGAGGCCATGCTGGAGCGGATGAAGCACGAGAAGTCGGTGGATATCTACGGTCACGTGACCTGCATGCGCTCTCAGAGGAACTACATGGTGCAGACAGAAGATCAGTATATCTTCATCCACGAGGCCCTGCTGGAGGCTGCCACCTGCGGGAACACAGAGGTCCCGGCGCGGAGCCTGTACACACACATCCAGAAACTCACGCAGGTGTCGCCCGGAGACACCGTCACTGCCATGGAACTGGAGTTTAAGGTCAGAAAACACGCACAGACACACACATCAACCTTAACCTGGCACGACACAACAGGGTTCCTGTGTCAGTTTTTCTCTCCTCAAAACACAGCGTGAAGGCACAAAATCACAGCCAATCAGAACCTCTTTGATGTTTAGTACACAGCTGATGATGCAATGCCTTGTTGCTTGTTTAAACCTCTGATTAACATGCAGAAGATGCCGTTTATTGCTTAGCGGTTTATCTTGCTTGTTTTTTGGAGTTGGGAACAGGGTTATTATCGTTAGCTATAGCTGTTTTGTTAATTGAAATACAGCTGGAATAAACGAAAATATAGATATTACATGATAACTTTAAATAATAAATGTTTCATAAATGTTAATTATTATAACTGAAATACGTTTACGCTAAAGCACTAAAATGACTAGATATTAGAATCAGCATTGGACATTAATTAATGAAATATAATGAATGCTTCAAGTTAAGTAATCATGTAATAATGATGATGATTAAATTAACTGGAAATTAATCAAAACTAAAACTGAACCGAAACTAAAACTAAAACTGAAAAATAAATAAATGCACATAACAGAATTACTAAAAATTAAACTAAAATTGAAAATATAAAAATAAAAGGTAACACTTACAATAAGATCTCATTTGTTAACATGAACTAACTATGAACAATATATATTTTTACAGCATTTATTAACCTTTGTTAGTGTTAGTTTAAAAAGTGTTCATGTTAACATGTACAACTTTTGATTTTAATAATATATTAGTAAATGCTGAATTTAACATTAACTAAGGTTAATAAATGCTATATAAGTACTGTTCTTGTTAACTAATATAGTTGACTAATGTAAACAAATGAAATATTATTGTAAAGTATTACCATAAAAAGCTAATTCGAATATTAATAAACACTAACACTATAATAGTCAATAAATAATTCTAAAACAACACTGATTTGGAATGAAGGACAAGTGTTTATTCAAAAACATTCCTGATTTTGTTAACAGAACTGGAATAATTATGTGGAATCTGAACATGAATTGGTATATTCCTTATGATTCTCATCTATAATGGTTAACCTTGAGTTCATTTCTTAAGTAATATTACACTGGAAGAGCAACAAGAAAAACTGTAGACAGAGAAAAGACATGCACATTGAAATGTTTTGCAGAAACATTCTTACCAAAGCAAAGGTGCATATTTTAACTGCTCAAACAGTAAGCTGAGAGCTGATGGAGAAGCTGACAGGCAGTATCTGTGACTGCGGTGAGAGTTATAGCTGCTGCATGCATGAAAACACTCCTTTAACATACAACAGCTGTCCTCAGAGACGCTTCACAGCCCGAATGATGAGGCTCAGAGCTGCTTTACGCGCAGAATCATTATACATCCGCCGAGGATGTAATCAGGTTTTAATGCTTGATGTTGTTTCACCAGCGGATGGGAATCATGTGATTCTGAAGGGCCAGTGCAGTCAGAGCTGTGTGTGGAAACACGTTTGTGTTTCCCTGCACAACATGAATGATTTTAATGGGCTGTTTTTCCCATGATGCATTTTGGTGACATGCTGAGATTCAAAGAGCAAGTATCATTTGAAGTTTGAGAACAAAGCCACTCGAAACACCTCATTCTCCACCAAAGAAGGATCTCAATTGTTGACAATGGAAAAAAACGCTTTTGAGTTTCAGTGTGGTAATCAACATTCTGCCATGAATACTGAACTTGAGCTTAACTTTTGAACTCGGAGTGTTCCTTATATTTCACTAATTAATGACCAATGCTGAATGTAACATATAGAATGGATTATTATACAGTATAATGATGCCAAATAAGATGTACACAAAAAGCTGACATTTAAAAGAAACATATTTTGGGGAATATTTATTCAAAACTCACAAAACTAAATAGAAAATGACAGTATGCTAATGTCTGAAAGGCTAAAATGTCATCTCATTAATTGTCCTCAGCCAGAAGCTTCTTCTGCTCACCAAGGCTGCATTTATTTGATCAAAAATACAGGAAAATCTGTAATATTCTGAAACATTATTACAATTTAAAATAAATGTTTTCTATTGTAATATATTTTAAGATGTAATTTATTTATTTGATCAAAGCTGAATTTTCACCATCATTACTCCAATCTTCAGTGTCACATGATCCTTCAGAAATCATTCTAATATGCTGATTTGCTGCTCAATTCTTATTATTATCAGTGTTAAAAACAGTTGTGCAGTTGTTCATATTTTTGTGGAAACCATAATACTTTTGATGAATAGAAAGTTCAAAAGAACAGCACTTATTTGAAACACAAATGATTTATATGATTATAAATGTCTTTACTGTCACTTTTGACCAATTTAATGCATCCTTTCAAACCTTTTCAAACCTTTGATTGGTAGTGTGTATGAGTCTATTTCACAATTTCTGAGCAATATGCATGTGTTTTGTGTCTTTTCTCACTGCAGAAACTGGCCAACTCCAAAGCACACACCTCTAGATTCATCAGCGCTAGTCTGCCTTGCAACAAATTCAAGAACCGACTGGTCAACATCATGCCTTTCGAGTCCAGCCGTGTGTGTCTGCAGCCAATCAGAGGGGTGGAGGGGTCCGACTACATTAACGCCAGCTTCATCGATGGATACAGGTATGTGAATCAGGGTTTGCGATTGCAATTCAGTAAATTCCACTTCCTGTCATTTCAATTCAACATCCTGTGGTGCGGATAACTTAATTCAAACTCAAACTCATGAATTGAAAGGGAGCCAGATCTTAAATTTAGAATTTTGCCTGAAGTCATAAACAGAGATCTGAGAGCCAGTTGAGACCAACTGTGAATCAGACTCTGGAGAAATCGGATGACAGATGGGTGTTCTTCTGAAGAGGTGCTGCTACCACGAACGCCAGCGAGTCTCTCTGTCACTGTCCCCCGTCTCTCTGACTCCTGCTGGATGTGACAGCTCAGAGTCATGGCCCATCTCGGAAGTCTGCGTCTGCGTGTCTACTGCCTTAGTGCTGCTAGTTGTCAGGACAAATTGTTCTTATAGGCAGGAATGTCCATAACTGGAGCTCTATCAGCACTGGGGAATCGGCGCGGCCCTGCGCCCACGAGCTGACAGGTGATGCACACAGTTCAGCGCACAAATAAAAGGATTACCCGTCACGAGGAGTCCGGTCTCCATGAAGCTCTCAATTTATCACACACACATATATACAGATAGACATTCAGACTGCAATGGGTTTGTGTTAAGCATACCACTGAGACACAGAGTTAAGGGGTAATTCCACCAATAACATTCCCAGCATTGATATTTTTCCAATTTGATACAGATTTCCAATTTTTCGACCTGAAATATGAATTGTAAAGGCTATGAATTAATTATATAAATATATAGTCCGACAAGCTGTGTGTTTCAGAGTAAAGCACGGCACTGTGTTCATTTACACGCGAGCAGCTCATGATTCAATGTCTTCAGTGTCTCGGTTAACAGTAAATACTGCTCCACTCGAAATCTCCGCCAGCGCTGTGAGTTTGGGACGCTTATAATGTGAATTTAAAAATGGATCACACACGAACTATTTATAATGAGAAGTGCATTTAGTATGAATAAATATTGGTATTGTAATTTTACTGTTGTTCTGTAAAATACAGTTATTATTATTATGAATAATAAATACTTGTTTTTTATTTTACAGTACAATATTATCATTGTGATACTAATATTTCTTTATTGATGTATTTTTATAATTTAAATAATAATAAAATAAAAATAATATTTTAGTAGCCATAATAATGACAATAATAATAATTAGTAGTAGTAGTAGTAAATAAGTGTTTTTTATTTTACAATTCAGTATTATCGCTGCAATAGTAATATTTCTTAATTGATTTAATTTTTAAAATTTAAATAATATTCTAAAAATATTTATTTATTATTATTATTTTTATTACTGTATAGTCAAAAAGGTTTTCCTTCATTTTTGGTGCTTAGCTGACCACATGCCTGGTTCTGTCATAATTTACTCATCCTCATGTCATTATAAAACCTGTATGACTTCTTCCTTATTCCCTGAAAATAATTGCACGCCTTAGAATGTTCGTCAGCCAATCAGATTCAAGCATTCAACGGCCCTGTAGTGTAACACTCATTATATAAGCATGACTAATCAGAATCGAGTACTTTAGAGCGTGAAATAATAGTATACATGCTAAACACATGCTTATCTTTTTACAGTCTGTTTGATGGATTGTGCATTGAAAATACTTTATTGAAGAGTTTCGTATGAATGAAAAACTGTGGAAAATGGATATTAAAACTGCATTACCTAAGACAGCCTCTATCCCATCTGCTGTGACTGTAGTCTCTGAGATCCATTGATTCAGTGCAACTTTCTGCCACAAGGAACGTTTACTGCAAATATCAGTGCTTCAAATGAATAGTCCTTTACTAACATCCTGAATCAAGCACTTCCTTTGCTGCTGCTGAGGGGTCATGTGAGGTGGAGGGGCGGAGCTGTGTCAAGAATCTGGGCTCATTGTTGGCCCTTAATCAAATTAACGGCCAATCAAAGAGCTCCCACTGCATCTGCCGGCATACTGAAGTGTAAACAGCGTAATTGGCAGTAATCGTGTTTGTAATGAAGGACAGAGGGAGAAGGGCTTTCACATGCTTTTAGCTTGATGAGCTTTCAGTGTGTGTGTGTGTGTGTGTGTGTGAAGGGTGGGGGTTGCAATTTAGCTTCCTGTCGTTTAGTGAAGCAAATGAGGCTGTATCACAGGTGTGTAGATCAGGACTCCGTCTTTCTCTAGCTCAGCCCTGCCGAGGCTTCCCTTCAGCATATGTTGGATGAATGCGGTCTTGTCCCAGCATGCCCTGCGTGCAGATGTGTTCACTCATACAGTGATTCGCAGTGATCAAACGAGTCAGTGAGAGTCACTGATCATTGACAATGTGGGTGTACAGCAGAACAGCCACTCAGAGACCTGCGCCGATAAAATCACTGTAAGAGAATAATGAGGCTGCTAAAGTCAGATTAGACATTTCCTCCACTTGTTCAACCACCTCAGAGATGCATTTATCTAAAAAAAAAAAAAAAACTTCAGCAGAGACCTGGGGATCTCACAGCAGGACTTCAGCACAAGGGACAGCGCTCGCGTCCCCACGCTGCCAAACAGTGATCTAGAGCTCTGCTGCCTTCACTACACAATCATGTCTCTCTGTTTCATCTTCCACAACCAGTGTTTTTCTCACCTGTCTCACAGTCTCTCCCTCATTCTCTGTCCAGTGTTTCCTCTGTCTCTCTCTCTCTCTCTCTCTCTCTTTCTCTCACTGCATATTTATCTCCTTGTCTGTCTTAATGCATTTATGATCGCAGTGATGGAGCTGCAGTGCCTCCTGCTGTTCGATTAGAGGAAGCACTCCTGGAGAGAGCTGTTCATTAGTATTCTGTGTTGATTCTTGTGTTTTCAAACTGTATTTTCATGTGTTGTTACTGCAGGCAGCAGAAGGCGTATATCGCCACACAAGGTCCTCTCTCTGAAACCACGGAGGACTTCTGGAGGATGCTTTGGGAGCACAACTCCACCATCGTGGTGATGCTGACGAAGCTCAGAGAGATGGGACGGGTGAGTCAACACCATTGTCATTGTGACAGATTCTCACATTCCTGCACACATCAAAGTGAACAAAGTCAATGTGAATGGCCCTTTGCAACCCATTTTACTTCTGTAATGTGAGTGAAAGAAGATATTCAAAAAGGCAAAATGTAGGGTGGCTCTTGATTGCATCCATTGGGAATTATTGGATTGTGAAACGTTGCTCATTTTTGATGTCCTGTCGACTTTAAGGCAGGGTTGTGTTTGTTAACTAAAACTAAAACCATAAAAAAAAACATTTTCATTACTTGAAATAAAACTAAATGGAAAAACTTATTTTATTTCAGCTAGCTGCCAAGGCAACATTTCTCATTTTCATTTAGTTTCTAAATTCTAAATGAAAAAGTCCAAAACTAAAACTTAATAAAATCTAAATAGACAAAATTCCATATAAATGTTCAAAATATTAACAAAAATGATAATAGTGTTAAAATAAAATTTAAGGCTTTAAGCAGTAAACTTTAAGGCAGTGCAGCTCAGAACAACTCAATTTATTAAGGGAGTGTCGCACACATTCAGCTGTTTTCATCTTTCATTCCATGTCACACATTGCAACACTTTTGCATTTTAGCAGCGTGAAGTTTATGGAAATATGAAGAGGAGAACTGCACAAAGAAACAGTTGTAATAATAGACTGAATTATAATGCAGCTCATGAAGTAACTGTTTTGTGTGTTAGTCTATTCAAGGTCGAGGAAAATATGTGTTCATGTACAGCTTTAATGAGCAAAAGATTTACATGAATCTGCTTTCTTATTTTATGAATCATTCAACAGTCCCATCAGGATTTCACAAGACTTTTTTTCTCATTTTTGCAAGTCACTGAATTTGCTGCAGCTTTTCTTCAAAAATTGTGGTGATATTTGCAGGATATTTTCCCTTGTTTTGCATTAAAAACCTACCATTATAATCATTAAGTAATTAGTATTAGTGACCATAAGAGTACTGTTACTGATGATTTAGTGCATAATTACTGAAATCAGTTGTGGTTCAGCAGTTGAACACATATTGATCAGTTTGTTTGGGCTCAGATTTATGCATTTTGATTCATTAACATTGCTTCTCTCAGGACAAATTGTAAAAATATGCAATAATGTAAGCTGCTGCAAGTGTTTGCAACTGCGAGATCGCAAAATCCTGGAGGGACTGATTTGAGTGTAGCAGATAATAATAACAAAATAAACATGCAATGTGGATGTTGGTTTGCTGAGAAAAATGTCTGAATACTCTTGTGCAATTAATTAAAAAAAACTCTCAAATGACTAATGAAATGTTAATGATGCTGAAAATCAGCTGGTTGTATGCTGGCCTCAGGCTGTCATTCTGTGCATTACACCACAGAGACAAAAGGCAAAAAATAACATTGGGTTTTGGACAAAGCAATTGAGCCAAGTGTGCACTGCTCTTATAATCAAGTGTTTGGCTCCACAGGAGAAGTGTCATCAGTACTGGCCTGCAGAGAGATCCGCACGCTATCAGTACTTCGTCGTGGACCCCATGGCTGAATACAACATGCCGCAGTACATCCTACGGGAGTTTAAAGTCACAGATGCCAGGGTGAGTCGATCAGACCATATGACTTCAGCTGTGCTGTGTCTTTAAATCACACTCTCATTCTCTCTCAGGATGGCCAGTCTAGGACGATCCGCCAGTTTCAGTTCACCGATTGGCCAGAACAAGGCGTGCCAAAGACAGGAGAGGGCTTTATTGATTTCATTGGCCAAGTCCACAAAACCAAGGAGCAGTTTGGACAGGACGGACCAATTACTGTTCACTGCAGGTGAGAAGCAGAATGAACAAACGCAGCAGAGCATGTAGTGTGTGTTTGTAGTAGCACTGGCTGATATATTGAATATTCAGAATGTTGTAAATCTATATGAAATTAAAATGTCTCGGTCTTAGATTGTATTGACTGTATCGTAGAGCTGACTTTGTATCTGTACATTACAGTTTTAAAGTTTGGGGTCAGTAAGAATTTTTTTTTTTTTTCAAAAGAAATTAATACTTTTATTCAGCAAGGATGCATTAAATTGATCAAAAATGACAGTAAAGACAGATTATTACAAACAGACATATTGTTACAAACGATTTCTATTATAAATGCATGATGTTCTTTTGAACTTTCTATTGATCAAAGAATACAATTAAATGTAAAAATAATAATAATAAAACTGATCAAGGTTTCCACAGAAATCAGCCCAACTGTTTTCAACATAAGAAATATAACAAGAATTGTATCTTGAGCAGCAAATCAGCATATTAGAATGATTTCTGAAGGATCATGTGACACTGAAGACTGGAGTAATGATGCTGAAAATTCAACTTTGATCACAGGAATAAATTACATTTTACAATATATTCAAATAGAAAACAGCTATTTTAATTTGTAAAAATATTTTACAATATTACATTTTTACTATATTTTTGATTGATGAATAAATGCCGCTTTGGTGAACAGAAGACTTAATTTAAACCCCCCCCCCAAATGTTAGCTGTTGTGTATGTGTGCTGAACTGCTGTCTGTCTCTCTCTGTCTCAGTGCTGGTGTGGGCAGAACAGGGGTCTTCATCACTTTAAGTATTGTTCTGGAGCGGATGAGGTATGAAGGGGTGGTGGACATGTTCCAGACCATAAAAACGCTCCGCACGCAGAGACCTGCCATGGTACAGACCGAGGTAAACCTGACACCCTCACTTCCTCTTGAGTAAATAGAATAGTTCACCTGTTGTCATTTACTGCAAATCAGACAGACTTTTCATTTTTAGGCAACACACGTGTTTTAGTCTGTGTTTTAACGGTGTGCGTCCCATGTGTGCAGGACCAGTACCAGCTGTGCTACAGAGCAGCTCTGGAGTACCTAGGCAGCTTCGATCACTATGCAACATAACCACTCCCAGAATGCCTCAGAACGGAGAGCCGCCACTTGTTTCTGAGCCTTAATCATCCTACCTATTCAGTCACCATTGCTGGAGGGAGAGAGAGAGACTGACAAACAGACAGAGAGAAACGGCAAATCAGAAGAGAGGAGAAATCACTGGAACTTCAGCGCAATCCTGTTCCTCTTCTGAAAACAGCAACAAACGCTTCCTTCTGGTCTCTAATGCCCAGCTCCTGTCTCTGTATTACCTTACTGCTTTATGATTATGATCATTTAATTTCATACCGATCATGATCTGCCATTGTTTTTATTATTATTATCATCATTATTATTATTGTATCATCATGATGATTGCTATATCTGTCAGAAAATACAATATTTGTATCATTTATGCTGATCATTGCATATCTAAGGGGTTCTTTTATTCTTTTTTTTTTCTTATATTATTATTATTATTCCTTTATAATTTTTTCGTATATGTTCAGTTATTTTTAGCATATGTGGACATGTATTTTCACATGACCCAGGTTACTAATACTTTAAGAGGTGTACTCAGAGCTGCTGATGATTTCTTACTTTTTATCATTATTGTATTTTAATGATCTACTTTTATTTGGTGGGGAAAGGGGATCTTTTATAAAATATACAATTAAAAACAACCTTTTCACCTCCTGATACTTTATAAAACAGTATAATCAAGTATAAAAGAGTTGAAATGCTTACAGCCGAGTTAGTGACCTTAATGAACCTGCCGTCGTTAAGGACAACTGAATAAACCAATGAAAGGAGAGAACGCAGTCAGAGCCGTTCTGCTCTGAATAGCAGTAAACAGACACTTTCTGGAAACCCTCCATTGTCGAGTGAAAGAAAGACAAGAAAAATGGTGTTCCTGCTGCCACAGCAAAGTTATTATCCCATGCCGGGTCAGCTGAGGTCAAAGGTCAGCTCGTGCTGAACGGCCAGGCCTTGACCCGACAGACCTGCACACACATGTACAGCCGTCACGTACCTCCAGTAGAACCACGGCCATCCGTCAATCGCTCAGACTAGCAGCTGAAGTGGGGAAATCTGCAGGAGAAAACAGACGGCTGAGGCTGGGAATACAAAACCTCCTGAAATCTCCACATGTGGTATTAACGGCCATCCGATCATTTCTCACTGTGGCTCGTAAAGACGAATCCCCAGTAATGTCGCGACAGCATCATCAGACTGAAAATATGTGCATACTCAAGTGTTTCTATCCTCCTATGGCCTGAGCACAAAGTAAGATGAAAAATGCTGACATGGGAATAATTCATTTCACTTTGTGTTGGCATAGAGACAAAACGCATTCAATCTGTTGTACAGGCGGTCTGTTTTCTATTTGTTAATAAAAAGGAGAGAAATATGTGTTAATAAAATGCTTCATTGGGTTTTGTACATGTTTATTGTGGGGATTTCGCTGCTGTATCTCGGTTCCTTCAGCACATTTCCCGGGAACAGATGGCTGGTCCCTCTCCAGTGTGATTGTGTCCTTGCCAGAAATCCAGAGCTGCGCAGCCAAGGCTAGTCAGCCCACCGGCCATTGCGGTTTAATGTGAAGGCATGTGGACTGGATTCTCCCTGCTCTACATGATTCATTAGTTCGGGAACACCTGGAGACATTAGTCCTCCTCCAAAACCGGACAGGAAGTTTACTAATTCTATTGGAAGCTAATTATCTCACTAATTAGGCACAAATTGTCCCTTTGGTCTGAGGTCAGAGATGTTGTTTCCCATTGTAGATTAACAATGATCAAATAATTAAGCCTAATTACCAGTTTGTAGACGATGATCAATGTCTTTGTTTATTTCTGGAGATACACAGATCATTTAGTTGCACATTTTTTAACAGGTGGTCTGAAAACCAACAATTTGTCCAAAGGTTAAAATAAAAAACGGACCATAGACATTTTAAATTTATTTTAGATATTGAAGATGCAAAATGTAGTAAATTGCACAGAGATGTTACTGTATTTTTTTTTAATACACACGTAACATGATCTATTGAATTTATAAATTTGCATCAGTATGGCTCTACTGTATGTGAATAGTGAGTTTTAGAAATAATGTCTATTATCCATATAATCTACATATTCATCTTGCCAGTAAATGGCTCTATGATGATCTATGGAATGGGATATACAAATACAAATAAGTCTATAGTTATATATTTGTACAATATGTCACATCTAAATGGAGGCATGTGGATTTAATGAGTCAGATGAGATGTATAGAGTCAGATATATAATCTTTATCATTTATACACCTATTTAGCTTACATGGATTACAATTATATATCTATATACAAATAATCTATTTAACATTCATATACTGTATACTCATACATATGGCTCTATATGATATTTGAAACATAAGTATGTTCAGAGTGACTATATATCAAAGTCACTTTAAGGCTAAGTCTTTGTTATATATATATATATATGAGTTAAAATTTGATGTATAAAATATTTATAAACACTATAGGCCAGTAGGTGCATCATGTTATCTATGCAATTTAAGTATTTTTAATATGAGATGCATGGAAAGGGGCCCATTAGGATGCATAGTAATATATACAAATGATCTACATTATCTATAATCAATATCTATAAGGTTTTCTATATGCTATAAAGAGACATCATAAGACTTAAATGGAGGGTGTTGTACATTAATCCATTTTATTTGTTCTATATCTGTCTTTATTTGTTCTATGTAAATATGGCCCCATGATTCATATTATTTATTGATTGATTTATACAAATATCCATAGGCTTTATAGTCTGTATGATTCTGCATCTATATCATTGTTAATTTTACAAATGATCTATTAAATGTCTATATACTACGGCTTTGTGTGTTTGATATGACATGTGGAGCGTGTGTAGATTGTATGAGCTCGATTGGAGATATGATTATATATATCTAAAAATCCACATTCTATGGCCCCATAACGATCATATGGTAAGAATTTTCCATATTATCTACATGGCCCCATAAGGTTCATGTGTACTGAGTTGAATAGGGGAACGCCTTCTTCCCTCTTTGTAAACAGTGTGTGCGCATGCGCAGTTGCGCCGCACTCTAATGGAGGACATGTATGATCGGTAATCGTCTTTTTCTGCGCCGTTTTTCTGAGTTGCGCCCTCAACACCCCTCAGCTGAGCCCGCGACACCCGTGAGTTAACTCCTCTCGTGTTCTGCTGACACATATGATCGGGTTTTTATGCGTGTCGAGTGATTTCATGTGTGTTTTAGTGTGTGGATGTCGGTGTTTACAGTAGTTAGCCACCATGCTCGTCAAAGTTTGGAGCGAATCGATAATTCATGTAATAACACAGTTATATACTACAAAAAGCCGTTAATTAGGCTGTGGGAATGGATATGAGCGTGTGTGTGTGTTGAGCTGAAGCGGTGTGTGTGTTTTGTGTGTGACAGGAGTAAGTTTGTGTTCATTTGAGCGGCTTTAGCCGTCAGTGTGTGTGTGTGTGTGTGTGTGTGTGTGTGCGTGTGTGTGTGTGTGTTGTTGTTGTTGTTGTTTTTGCAGTGAGTTGAGAGATTTCGGGGTCAAAACTTTCAGTGGTCCTGAGCTAATGAGATC